CCTCCATTCCCCTTTAAGGTAGATCTAATGCGACAGAAGCATCGGATTGAATAGGAAGAATTGGAGATTGTATTTTTCTGGATATATAAACAGACCTAGGCCTAACTCCATAAACGTTGACGGAAAGGATTGACGTTAGGTTTTGCTCTTCCTGTCGATATAAAACCGAACACCAAAGATTCCAGGCTGTTTGTTCTCTTGATTCTCTGAAGAATGCTCTCTATAGCACTCGTACTGCAATAATGTGAGTAGTACATGCTGGCCTTTGCCCTTTCTACCCCCCTTTCTACCCCCTTTCCTAGAGTACCTAACGGATAGTTATAGGAACGGCGAGTTCTCGGATAAAACTGTAGGATGTCCAAATTTTCCACGCACTACAGTTATACGATGCGAAGGGGATACAGACTGCGAAATTTTGCTTCTCTTGAATGGGCGGGAAACCAGTAGCACCACGAGAGAAAGCGAGAGCCGCTGAAGATAATTGGTACCAGCAGCTTGGAGGAAAAACTACCGAGGCGGGTCTATGATGCATCAACCATTCTGCTATTTTCATGCTTCGCTATAGTCAAGAAGACGGCTACCGCATGATACTCGTCATGAACGAGCCCCCAAGCACCGCCCTAGGGTTACTGTCCTGCTCCGTCACCCAATTCCACTTCTCGCTCGTGAAAAGCCCCCTTGGGCTCCTGTCCACCTCCCCACCCGCACCCAGCCCCATGTTCACGCGCCCTTGCTGCCCAAAATTCCATACCTTTGGCTTCTCCCCCGCAACATCGACCTCCTCGTTCTCGCTCCCCACCCAAACAGCCTTCTTCTTCACTTCTTGAGGGGGAATCCACGATTCGAACAGAGGGCCTCCGGATTTGGACCGTGAAAGGCGGATGCCGAGACCAGTGTCGATGCAGGTGCGGATAAAGTCTAGGGCGGGGAGGATCTTGGTGCGGAGGCCGCAGTGGCCGTGGTTGCTATCAATTTGGTATTGCGGGCATTGCCGGAGGGTGTTGATCAGGAGTTCGATGTCGCCGATGTAAGCCTCAGGCCAGATGTAGTCGGCATCGTACGGAGAGGCGGCTTGGAAGGAGACGAGAGATAGGAGATCTTTTTTGGTGAGGAATTTGATCATCTCTCCTAGCCTAGAATATTGAAATTCAGTTTCTGTTTTCACTGGCATAGACTATCCAATACGTAGTGGATGGGTGACAGCTGTAACAAGCCGATAAATATCTGGGCAATATTCCCCTCAGAGGAAACACCCATGGACAGTTGGAAAGCCCGAAGTCTTCGTTCAGAAAAGACTTGAAATGCAAGTTTTAGTTTTATGTGCCCAAATCTGTCCGGCCAGTGACGGATAACACTTGTGGCCATATATCCTGATTCCGTGGACTGTTCCGGGGATGAGACTGTCTTCGAGATCTACTCACTGGAAGGAATCACAACTTGAACTTGTATCGTACCCCAACTTGCATTGCCTTTCTTTCGAGCTGTAGATCTGCAGGAACTGGTCTTGAATCGAAGCAATGGTACGTAGAACGCAAGCACGACGATATGCCAGCTCCCCTGGGTATTTGTCAGAATCGTAGCATAGACTCAACGCATAGGGCCAACCTTCTAATCCGTATGGTAAGTCCCACCAAGGAGCCCGAAACTCATTGCTAGTCTCTGCGGTATCCGTCCAACGTAGAGATCCACGCAGTATCAACTCTTTCGTCGACCCAGTGAATCTCATCCCATGATCGGTGTGGAATTGTATCAAGATCTTTTGCCTCAAGACCTCTTCACCGTTCTTATCAAGCCCAACTGGATACTTGTGTGCATTCAAGGTCTTTTGCATATGCCGAGTGACGGGAGAGGTAAAGTTGTATCGGTCTGCCATGAGCACGAGAACCGTGAGACACTGCGTATTGAACGGAGACGTGAGATAATCCTTGGATAATCAGAACTCTGTAATATTCAATTGACTGTACAACGTACATTCCCATGGACTATGCGTAGCATATCCCTGAATATAACCTCCCTCCCAAACGTCTTCGTGATACTATCTTCATCGACAATATTGACACGAGGAAGCTTATCCGCCTCAATATTGGTAGGATCCAGACCAGCCGCTTGAAGGTCTGCCAATGCCTTCGTAACTGCTAGGCCCTCTGCGAAGATGGGTTTGAACAGTATCTGGAAGTACTCAGAGTACTTCTTGATCGTCTCCATCTTGACTCGGTATAAAATGCGCGGGGATGGTATGGGAAGCTTCTTGGTCCGCAGACTCCGGAGAGTGTCTTTGGGGATCGATTTCGTACATTCTGACGTGTTTTTGAAGGTAACATCTAGAAGGATATCTCCTGTAGAGCGGATTTCAACCAGAGGGTACTCGGTCCCTTCAACTTGCACCGTGGCCACTATGCTGCTCTCCGCAGGGCCGGCCTTCGGGGCTGCCATTCTTGTGAGGTATGCTGTAGCGTTGTACGGATATGCGGAGATACATTGAATCTACAAGTTTGGGTTCAATGAAAAGGTAAACGGGGAAGTGCCCTGGTATGTGAGTGGATGCTCTAAGATCGCCTGGTAGGCCCACAGATAGCTGCTTAGATGTGAATTGATGATGTTCAAAACACTGCTTTTTCACGGATATGGCCAGGCCATCTCAAGAGTTGTTGAAATCAGAGTATGCGTACAGGTTGTATGAGGAGAAGTAATGAAGTTGAGTTTGATTTTAGCGGCAGATGGGGGTTCGTATCGGAATGCAGCGCCAAGCCGGATAGACCTCTTTCAGCCAAAAGGTAAATTCAACCTCATCTACGATCCCCGAACTCCGAACGACAATCATTAAAGAGCTGTGAGAAGACAATGAGGACATCGAGGCCTATTCTACCCCTCGGATAGAGGCAATTGGAATCTTAGCATCTAACAACTCTCTCACAATTCTTTCTACTTGGACTTAACCCAACCTTAACCTCACAACCCTCAGCATGAGAACAGGAAACTTGACAAGTCAGCTTCGTTATGACAACTCAGATACTGAGTTCTCTCTTATCTGTGGCATACTAACAGAATATTTGGAATTTAAGTGCTGCACTTCACTGGACAGCGCCTTTCGAGAAAATGGTGACACGATATCAATCGTCACAAGCAACAACACCCGATGTCCACATTGCTCATCACCCAAGTCATTTACCGGTGGGAAAGTAATGAAGATTGCTTCAATGTCTGAAAATTGGTAGTGGCTTTGAGAATCAGGGCGTGCCTAACGTGGAAGCAGTCAAGCCTTCTTTACTGCCATTGGTTTTAAGAGAGCAGTGCCTAGAAGCTACGCTCTGCTGGAGAATAGCTGAACACCTGTAAGTCAGAGCCATTCTAGACTCTCAGCTGAAGTATCCGCATGATTACTACAGAGAGTGTGATCTTTTGGCCGCTCTGTTCAAACTCAAGCATTCAGCTACTTAGTCCCTCGGTTAAGGGATGCTAGCTGGAGTACAGGATAACATCAGGACATCGAATCCGATTAGACGATAACAGAAGCTCTACAGGTAGGAAATCCTCTCTGTCATGTTTTTGGGTTATCTTATATGAGAAAACCTCTAGCTCTTTGCTATGCATGAACAGGCATTGTCCCGTGTCGAGCAGAAACATATTTGTGCTGTTTTTCTTCTTCCAAGCTTTTTATGCATATATCATAGCTGTGTGTTTTTTGGTACTATGCGTACTCTTTTTTGAATCTCAACAACGCTGCTCTCTTGGAATTCCTCTTGAGTCCGGCTATCCAGACCGCCTAGCAGAGTAGTACCACTCTTTACCGTGGGTGACTATAGACTATTGTCATGCTATAGTGCTGACTTAGCTTGAAGCATGCATTCCTTTTCAACCAAATTGTTGTTTCTAGAAAGGATCTGGGATTGTTCTATGCCATGCTGCAGGAGATAGCGTGCCCGAAGAGCATTAGTTGTTCTTTTCCGTGATGAAGCTTGTTTGCCCTGACCTTTCATAATAGTACCAAATTGCTGCTTGAAGGCCCCCTCAGGCTTGATAACAGGTGGCATAAGGATCAGCACAAGTGAGCAAACAGGATGGGAAGCTACCTGTCACAAATACTCCACCCATCCTGAATACCTTCTCCCTGTAGGCAATGCTTGCAGAAAAAATAGGCTCTGTCTACTACCTGATGCTATAGACATATTGCACAGCTATGCGCAATTTTTAATACCTCTATCCCTTGACAGGTCTTAAAAGCTTGAGGCTGGTCATCAGCAAGCAAAGAGTGACAGGAAATTAAAAAACGTCTGCTTCTCTGATTTGCACAGCCCAGTTCTCTATCTAGATGCAGAACTAAAGGGAATGAAATCTCAAAGGATGAATTCCTGATACTGCCAACAGACCAGGTATCATAAAAGGGATTTGTGTCGTGAGATTAAACAGCCCTGTGGTGAACCGGAGGAGCCTAGTCCTTATGCATGGACAAGATAATCACTCCGCGTCCATGCTATCTTATAATTGAAAGATCTGTCTTAAAGATTCTATGTCGGCGGAGTATCCAACTTTGGATTTTGCCTAGGCCTACTATAGGCTGGCTGCCTTTGTGCTCATCTCCGTGGATAAGGCAAGACATCAGTTCCACCCTGTCACCATGAAGATCAACAGATTTACAGAAGATGGCCGGGAGTTGTGGGTGGGGGCGCGGGCTCGCTGGCGCTAGCCTGGCAGCCTGATATTTCGGTATTGGAAGTCTATAGACTCCGACTTAACCCCCTCGACCATCTCTCCTCAACAACCATCTCTCAACATAACAAGAACGTTTATCGCGCTTGTTAACCCACTCTGCACCTCACGTCAATCAAACACACCATACAACTCTCAGTCCTTGGGTACGTACTCTCCTTTCTCCCGGTGCGTAGATCGACGCGCAGATGAACTTACAAAGTTCAGATCGATCTGCAGTTTACTGACATCGCTACCTTACAGCTAAGATGTCGGTCCTCAAGATCTTTTTCTTGCTCGCCTTCCTCTTAAGCTATGCTACTATCATCGGTGGTAGCAGCATTGGGGCCTTGACTCCACCGGTCACTTCAACTTCTTCTGACACCCTGGCGCCATCCTTCTGGTACAGCACCATGATTGTCAACCACGCCCCGCCATTTCTTGTCACCTTCACCTCGACTCTCCCAGCTTCGCCCACCATCTCTTCCACGTCCGCTCTACCAACCACAACCGTGGTGGTAACTGTCACTGGCCTTCCTCGGACCTCGACCGTTTACGTATCTGACTCTGCGTCTTACAGCACTATTACCGGTCTTTGCTACTGTACGTATTCCCTTTGAAATGACAAAATACTATGACTTCTACTGACTTCATTGATAGTAGGCTCCAACGACGCGGTCGAGGTTCCTTGCACCTATACATCCGGGCTCACCTCAACTGCTAATTCGCAAGGTACTACCACTGTTTCAACATCTGCCGCCTTTACAATCAATACTCAAGCCCCTGTCGTTAGTAGCTTAGCTATTCCCGCACATTCCAACTGGGCCAAGTACTTGAGCGAACATGCGAAGAAAGGCGCGAAAGTTATCAAAGTGGACACTGTTACAACTTTTATTGTCGAGAATGGCAAGAAGGTGTTGGGTATTCGTGGATTGAGTCCCGTTGGGAATTTTCTCTCTGCCCGATCTAGCGTTAAAGAAACCCCCAACGGCCCTGTCCGCTGGGAACCCCTCAGCCACCAATTTATCCCTATAGGCGGCGGCCCGGTATGGGAATCTTGCGACCACATCCCAATTATATTAATGCCATTCCTCATGCCCATCTTCAGTAGGTTCCCTCAATCTTGAAGACACGCCGATGAAAGCTGACACGTCCGAAATAGCTCTGATGACCGGTGCGTACATCCTCGTCGATTGGTCCAACAGTAGGTACAACTTCTGGAAGGTCCTCATATACATTCTATTCTGGTCGTTCTCCCTCCCAGTCTTTGTCTATCTGGAAGTCAATAAGGGTCAAGTGAAGACAGGTTGGGATGCTTGTGCAGACAAGAGTCGTGAGTATATGATCCAACCCGGCTATACTCAAGCCCCTTCTGCGTAATCCGACTGTGCTGGATCTTCTGATCATGCTGGATGTCGATTCGATGGTGCTGGATTGATGTGGGTGACTCGATCACTCTGGGACTTGGCATTTTGTCTATAGTCTGAATATGAAAACGCGTACCAAAACTACAATCGTTCATGACCAATATAGGTCTGCGTGAAATATGCTGAGGTTTGAATATGACATGGCTTCTGGGTATTGCATCTGACATCATCCGGGCGTAATATTCTAATTGTTTTATGGATGATATGATCTGCTTGAAAGGTATTTCAATCCAGCTCGTCATTACAGTATCTTCGGAACCCTCTCCCCGAATATCAGTAATGGCCCTGATAGATCTGATTGCTGTGCTTGAGCTTCGGGATTCACTCGATGGGCTCCTGGACCTGTCCCACCTAATGGCTGCCCAGTCCCCTGACGTGCGAAGCCGGACGGGACATTCTCTTTTGCGGTGATTTGCTTGATGTTTTTTGAGAGCGGCAGGTGGATGCTGCTAGCCACTACTCAGGTCTAGCTATCATCCCAAGTCTTCGTTGTAAGAAGTTAGATAGGAATCGACAAGGAGTGCGTGTGGATGGTTTGCTTGCTTGCTTGGAATCGCCTTTGTAGCTATATATGTGTTGCTGCTCAAGAATAGCATAGCTATATCTACATATAACCCTCGAAGAACCGCTCATCTTCTTGTAGTACGAGTAGCTCATACGCTGGAGAGAGAGAGAGGGGTCAACAAATGTTCAGAGAGGTGCAAGCTGGATAGGACATTATATACTTTTGCGCATCTTTTCCCCCTCGAGAACCCTTCGCTCAAGGAATACGCAGATCCGATATCACCTTTACTATCAGATCTTCATTTCTTGTCCCTATTCTCTTTGCAGTCATGTTGCGTTCAAATCATTGCCTCCACCGATATCAAATGAGCAGGACTCTCCCTCATCCATATTTGAAAGCCCTCAACTCAAACTTCTCCTTCCCAAGAATGCCTCCGCCCAATTCCAATTCCAAACTCCATCCTCAAACTCCATGCCAGAACTCACGCCAACCCAAACGTACCCATTATCCATTCCCCACCCCAAAGTTCCCATAAACTCATAGATGTTCATTACCCCCCTTCCTCGTTCCCCATGCGCCGGCTAGAGCAAATCCTCCTTCCCCGCATAGAACACACCAAGATCCTCGTCCTGATCCGACACACTGCAGCGCATCCGACGCGTACGAATCGCAGTCCAGTGCGCGGTATCGCCCGATCTGCCGGGCGGGGATCAGGTGTCGAGATGCACGCCGGTCAACAGCATGATGGTGATGGAGAGCGTGGCGAGGACGCACAGGTATAGCTGCTTCTGCTGTCAGTTGGTCGACATGGGGGAATGTATAGTGAATGAAGGTTTCGTCAACTCGCGGAATTGGCTTTGTGGGTTTCGAAAAAGAGTTTCTTTCTTTCTTTGTTTGTTTGTTTATGGTATGGATTGTGCGAATAGGGTATGTAGGAGAAATGGACAGGCTTGTAGAGAGGAATAGAGGGGAGAGAGAGGGCTGGTTTTGAGAGAAGATGGGTGACCTGGCACTGCAGCAACAACAGTGATGGTGCTAATAGGCTTCGGGGGTAGGGTGCGGATCGGACAGCACAGGGCATATTTACACTTTAGCGAATTTTAAACGCAGGATCATTGCAGTAGGGATGAAATCCGGGGATGGCTTGGCGGCTGGAGAAGGTGGCGAGTGCCGGAGATCAAAGCATGTGTGTAACGATAGTATTTATATTGGGACTGGGCTCTTTAATTTTAAAGGGAAGTAGAATATGGGGAAACACGACTTCGTTGCCTATAATACCTTGTGATACCCGGGGCTGCATTTCAACGAATTATGTAGGACAGGATCAAGAGTCAATAGTGAAGCGCATTCGAAATTAGGCTATTTACTTTGCTTGCTTGGATGAAAAATGGTGGTGGTACATCCCGAGCCATCCCTAGGCCAATTCATCAGTAACTAATAAATCCTTTGCCGGGTTTGAAGATCGGTTTGGTATCTCAATCTTTTATGCACCCATCGAGGGCATAGGAGGAAATTAAACGGATCTATCTCTGCCCAGAGCCTCCCCACGCCGAAAGCCTAAGAAGAGCAATACTCCGACATATGTCCAGTCTACATCCACAATGGAGCTGTAACCTCAACTGCCCTCTCAACCACGGTACGTACTCTCTCGCAAAGCACCCTACTCGCGCCTTCAACCTCCAGATCCTCAAGCCAGACCTTAGCGACAGCGTTGTTGACCTTGATCTCGACTCCCGGAACAGGAATTCCAATCTTATGCAACCTCTCAATCTCTTTGCGCTGAAGGGCTTCTAGCTCTGTCTCTTCTTCTTCTGAGCCCTCGGGGGCTTCCTCGTCCTCCTTGATCGTTGATGGGGATCTCGCAGCTGCATTGATCCTAGGTACGGCGATTGGGGTGACATTCTCGGCTCCGAATTGTGCTTCCAAGAACATGAAGAGGCGCTCTAGTCGTTCAGTAGGAGACAGTTTGGAGTGCGGGTTGCGAGCTGGAGGGTCATGAGTATGAGAGTGCTTGCTGGATGATTCTGGTGATGTTAGCTGTGGAACCTTGCAAAAACGGGAAGCAATGGTTACGTTTCACGGCAGCTGGACTGCTCTCCACGGAAAACAACACAGCCATGACTGCATCAGCAATACCGTCATTGAGCATGTTCCCCTCCCATTCCAGCTCTACCTCCCCGTTGTTTCGGTGTCGAACAATAATGCAGCCCATAACAAGATACGCCGTGGTCCGACTCGAGATTTCTTCATCCGCATCCTCGGAAGATCCTTTCATATGCGTATCACCGTTGGCCTTATTCTTACTCTCGGGAAGCTCCTCGATACATCCAAAGGTACCCTCCAAAGCCCATTTTATCAGCTCAATACCCGCAGCACTGAGAGTCATGCGCTGCTTGCAAGTGATTATCGTCGTTGTTAAGCCTGCGTACTCTCTCAAGTCTTCTGGTGCCATCAGAGACATCTTAAAGTCGTTCTGTACTATGACTCCAGTCATGAGTTGTGACTGGTTACTATTGGCTGCTGGGGCAGGAATAGATGCCAGCTTTCCAACCACCCTCGCTGTCTTGACTGCTTTGAAAGGGATTCGAAGCTCCTCGCAGTTTCGCGGACTGAAAACCTTGACCTTGTTTGTCTTGTCGGCGTTGAGAGAAAGTAACTTCGACTTGAGGCGCATCATATTATGTACTTCACCGTGGACAAGAATCTATTGAGCGTCAGTGAGTGTCCCTTTGACTTGGGGCCACATTTACTGACCACAACCGGAGCTGCGACCTCTTCGATGAATTCTCGATTCTCGATACCGTCAACATGTGCTGCAAATGAGAATTCCTGAACGCTGCACCGCCGAGGTATCATAACTTTCTCGGACTCTGATAGATCTGGACCTCTTCGTGCACCACCGGTATTCCGAGACATGATAGCTTGGATCTGATCTGGCTCTTGCATGATCTGCTTCGCCATGGTGCCTTCAACACTGTAGCCAGTGATAACCACACCATTCTTCTCACTCGGAGCCCATCTCTCCAACAACTCTCTACTCACACCGTTTTGCAGCATACCTGGACTAGCCAGCATGACACAGCGTCCCACATCGTCGAAACGATCCAGATTCTTTAAGGATCTGATGTACTTGAAGTCCCAGGGTCCACCCTTAGCAGCGGTATCTGAGCTTGCCTCTGCTTCTGCCATTCTCTCCCGGAAAAGCCGTTTGATATTCTCGTTCATAGCACCGACGTAGGTTTGATAGACAAGCATACACTTTCGTGCCAAGTTACTGGCGTAGTATATGGGAATCTTTTGGAACTCAGGATGGAGAGCCCAGTATTCGTCCAGGATCAGAAGAAGTTCCTGGGCTCGGCCGAGAGCGAAGACCGGCATCAGAACACGACCACCCCGGTTCAAGATACTTGTGATAGACTTCATGAGCTGCTGCTCTCGCTCCACTCGAGGAACGTGCGCGGCAATGCCGTAGGTCGATTCGGTGATCAAGACATCTATTTTGACTCCTTTAGGTACCTCAGCAGACACCAAATGTCGATCGTCCTCTCGAGAGTAGTCTCCGGTAAAGAATATCTTGAGCCCAGCGATTTCGATCAGAAACATGGCGGCTCCCAAGACATGACCAGCTGGGTAGGGCGTGATCCGGATTGAAGAGATTGTATGGGTGGTGTGGTAGTCGATCGCCTCAATCATAGGAAACGTAGAGAGATGGTCTGCTTCTGTGTATACTGGCTGGCCCTTAGAGTCCGAAGAGGCACCGCCAACTCTGATGCTATCCTGGATGAGCCATTTGTAGATAGCTTTGGTAGGATGCGTCATGAAGACTCTTCCTTTGAAATTGGTCTTTGCCAAAACATAAGGCAATGAAGCTGCATGGTCAACGTGGAAACTATTAGACATCAGCTCAAGTCCAGATAGCAAGCGTAACATTGAGGTAGGGGGTGGAGCATATGCTATGTACAAACATGTTCTCGATTGCAGGTCATCATCACAGAATCAAGATATGTGGGTGTCTGCGGTGTTATAAAAGCGTTTTGTATTGATACTTGTATACATGATTGAGCGACAAAATAGCAGACATCCACCGAACTAGGATGTAGATATGATGAAAGTGTATGCCTCCACCGCCCGAAGTTTGATCAGGTATGGAATGCACTTACTGGCTGATCAAGAGAACATCAACTGTGCTAAGGTCAAAGTCGTCGTAAAATGGAAGAGATGCAAGACCCTCATAGCCTGCATGCTGTCCTGCATCCAACTGTAGCAGATTAGTTGCTGTCGGTGTCCAATAAACGGGGCACGACGTACCATAACAGTCTTTCCTTTGTACTGAATGATGTGACAGGATCTGCCAACTTCATTGCCTCCTCCCAAGCAAAGAAACATCAACTCATCCGCTGGGTCGACTGACTCTTCGACCGCAGGCGCTGGCGCCATGGCCGCTGCCTTGCGCTTGGAGGCCATCTTGATATTCTGGTATCCCTTCTATCCTTCCCTCCAAATCAAGTGCGGCCTTTCCTACGCTGGTCGGGGGTAGGTTGTGGTAAGCAGATCAACACATTGGGAATCTGATCCGTTCGGCTTTCCCGTTGCTGTGCAAGGCAAGGAGGGTGGAATAGAGAGCGATCAATCGCCATATCATTGAATGAAGTTGCAGCCATTGATTAGACGCGGTAGCCCCACCGGCGGTTACCTCACGTGACTATAAAATACGCGTTCCCTATCGCCTTCAATCAAGAACACACCATATCACCAACAAACCCACGACAGCGCCACAAGCCTACAACGAATCAACACCTGCTACGCAACAGCTCAAGGAATCGAATTACCCATTAGGACGACTGACTCTGCGCATGGTTCAGGCTTTTGGAAGAGCAGCGGGCTTTGCGCCAGCCTCTTGAAGGAGATTTCAAGGAAGCATATCTCGACCTCAACTGCCATATACTCAGATTAAGAAAAATGGCGCAACCACAGCAACAGTATCCGATGCCACAGCGGTCGTTCTCTCCTCCGCAGAGCGCTGCTTCCCCGGGTGCGCAGCAGCATTTTGGTCAGCCCCCGAACAAGAGGCAGCGTCTGTCTCCCAACCCATCGTCACAACCAAGCTCTCCATACTTGCAGTCGCCCTATGGTATGAGTCCCACAACAACTGCGAACACTGGTTCGGGAGCGTCACCTCACTTCTCGAATGTTGCGATTCCACCGGGTGCCTACACCACGCCTTACCAAAATGGAAACCCCAACCCGGCTCTCACCCTCCCTCAATCGCAACCCAACCATCAATCGCAATCTCAAAACCAACCTCCCTTTCAAGGCTCTGTCAGTTTCGCAAACCCCCAACACACCGCTCCACGACCCATCTTCGGCGATTACATGCCTGCACAGTCACAGCAACAGCAACCATACCCAGGCCAAAATCAACCCCAGCACCCACCCTCGAGCCAACCACCAAACCAACATGCAGGGACGATGGGGCCTCCATCAAAACCTGCGGAGAAAGCCAAGGAGGATGGCTTGGACCCCATGGATCTACTTGCTGGTACCGGTATCGATTTACGAGAGGAAGAACAGTACATGTTCAAATCGTTCAACTCAAATCAAACGGATTCCCAGCCTTCGAACGCCAGCTACCGTATTCCGCCGGGAGATAGGGCATCTTTTTATGGCGCGGGTCCGGCGAATGTGGTGGCTGAGAAGACAAATGGAAAGTCACAGGACGATTACATCCAAGAGCAAGCCGATAAATTATGGGTCAGCGCAGCTCACAGGTTGGCACAGTCAAGACAGAATGAACTAGCCAACCCGTTTTTGCAGGTTGCGCTTGTCACGCACAAGATGCAAAAGGCAGCGCGAGAGAATGGGCTGAGCTTGAATGTAGAGAAGAATGGCCACATGGGTGTTATGAAACTACCAGAACAGTTTTCGAACAGAGAAGTTCGAGCGCAGACAGCCTTAGGAACCGATGTTGGGTTTGTCGCTACCAGTGGCCCGTTCCTTCACGGCGAAGCTATGCTCGTTGATCAGGTTGCACTTTTATCGATTGCAACGAAGCATCGATTGGAAGGACTGATCAGGGATGCAGTTAAGCTTTCGAGGGGTCGGCAGACTGGCTCTCATGGCGTTGTCCCCGTGGAGTGGAGCAACGTTGCGGTAGCAGGCAGCTTTGATAGCCAAGCTTCCGAGAGTGGTCTGCGAAATGGTTGGGAGAGTGCACTTAGTCCGCACTCCAACCCGCTCAATCGTACGGTACACTTGCTCATTTTCTTAATCTGTGCTAACTCGCCATAGACTCACTGTCCGGTGTTTCCAAGCTCCCAACCCCCGTCTCGGATAGCGCAACCCCTCCAACTGCTCCTATCAAGTTCACAAGCGAGATTGCTGCAGCCTTGCGTACTTCAGCAACTCTAGAACAAGCCCAAGAAGAAGCCCGACTTCGTAAGCGTCAAGACCGTGCTAATGGTGGAGGTACAGCAGCTGCATCTAGACAGGGCTCTATCGTTCCTGGTACGCCAGGCTCCGTGGCACCTGATACCGACTTGAAAGCACCAACGAAGAAGGAGCAGAGGAAGAAGGCTGACGCCAAAGTCAACGAGGCTGCCACCCACGCTGCTGCGAACACCACCACTGCTCAGTTCTTGGGCGTCGGCGGAGGCATGTTCGGCAAGAAGAAGAAGTACAACTGGCTTACCGGCAGCGCTGCTGGAGGTGGTGCCAGTGGGTCAAGCACGCCAGGTCGCATCAATACCCAAGGGCTTCCTGGGACCCCAGGCATCCAGCCAGTCAGTGCCCCTCCCGAGAAATTGACGGCTGATGGTGTGAGACGACTTGGAGAATGGAGGGATGACGGACTGAAAGGTCGTCGGGTCCAAATTCGCGACTGGATCTCAGTGCTCGAGCAGGATGGGCGCGAGAAGATGGCCCTGCAGAAGGCATACGTTGGGCTTGACCAATCGGACCCTAAATAGAAGAGAATTGGGCTACTACTTGACGCGGTTTGAGGATTTCCAGCATTTTTACGGCGATCAATCCTATGTATCTGATAAGGCGTCTTTTTGCATGGCGTTGGTTGCATTGGTCGGCGCTATCTCCCATGGGGGAAAGGGAAGATTTGGCCCGTAGACACCCACGTGGTGCTCTGGGGGCGATAGATTGCATCTCCGGACAAATTGATGACAATGAATAATCAAAACAAGGATTTCACACATATCATTGGATCTTTGCGTTTTTGTTTTCGTTCCTAAGTGGGTGAGGTGAGTACGGGTATGGGTATGGGTATGGATATGGGTGTTTCCCATGGCGGGGTCTTCGTATAGTGCTTCTTCCCCGGGTGCTTCACCGACATTGCGCGATCCGATCCAAGCGGCATTCGCCAGCTGATACATACACATGCATACCTACCGTTTATCCCTTCGTGCTGCAGCTTCGACGGGACGCATATGCATGGCTGACGATTCTCGAAGCCGAGGTTTTTCGTCGCGGACCCATCGGCGCGGGATTGGTCTTGTGTTGTTGGTTGCTCTCTGTTCAAAAGCGCATTGGGGCCGTTCTGACAGTTCAGAAGGGTTGTGCGCTGTGAGCTGGACTGGCTATTCTATTCGTCTGATCATGTACCTCCCTCGCGGCGAGATGGTCGGTGTCCGTATCTCCTGAATGGTTTTATTTTTTTTCCCCCTTCAACTTATCTTTCTTTTCCTTTTTCGGAAGTGCAAATGCGAGCCTTTTGCGGCTGCGGGAGGGCTGTCCTTGTGTGCGAGCTGCGAGCATGTATATTACGCGGGTCGCGGGTCGGGCGGGACGGGGTGGTAACTGATTATAGACCTGAAGACGAGAGTGAGAGGTCATAATCTAAAGATTGCTTTAGTTTCCGAAGAGAGCAGATGGAAAATGGAACATGGAAAACGGGCAATCTCGTGTCGGGATGCCCATGGGTTTCGTCTCTCTTTGCCAAGAGCCGCGGACGGAGATGGAGGACGGAGGACGGAACTTCGGCCAAAGTGGTGACAACAAAGAGAGAAAATCGATGACTGAATGAATCACTTTCCTAATTGATTGTCGTCGGGATGTCTGTTCGCGATTCGTGAGCACTGCAACTGGTGTGCGCACATGTGACTTGGGATGGATAGAGTTTGGAGATAAGGGTTTGGACCGGTGGTTGAGGGGCCGGGGAGGTAGGTATAGTCTATTTTGACGACGAGCTTGTACTGTGAGTAAGTTTTTGTCTTTCAAGTCCTTGCCGGCTTTCGTTCGAGCTATGCAGTAGCAGTAGCAGTAGTGCAGTCCAGGGCAATCCAGTGCGGCTGATTCGTCCGGGCGATACCGTACGCAAAACCCACGGACACTTGACTCTCCTAGTTACCTAAGTATTAGCTAGCCCTTCCAGCCCTTCCAGCCCTGCACCGAGCCAGGATTGCTCTTTCTTCCCAACCCTATATGAATGCTTCTCTCCCCCGCGATCCCCAGGCTTCTTTTTTTTCAATACACCAAAAAAAAAAACAAAAAACAAAAAACAAAAACAAAAACAATAATACAAAGCTCAGCGGTAGTTGAACAGCTTTGCTGACATCGCAAGCAATTGCAAAGTCGACCATGAACTGCCCCAGTCGGACTGAGGAGCCCGAGGGCGACGGCATGAACCAGAGCCCGCGCTCGCTGTCGGCCGATCTCACCACCCGTCAGGATCTGAACGGCATTGCCAACGCGCGGGAGCTGCGCAGGATCGCGAGTATGGATAGTGAGATGGAGGTTGATCGCGTGCCAGACGGCGATGGGTCGAAGCACCGGTCGAAAAGGGGGGAGGTGGTGGTGGTGGCAGGGGAGGGGGTGAGGCCCAGTAGTCAAGGCGGCTCGCAATCGGAGTTGGTCGCCATTGATGCTGCGGACCGTGGTAGTGGTGGTGGGGGGGGTGGTGGAAGCGGGAACTGGGATGCCAACGTCCCCTTCCTGACGAGAACCTTTTTGAAAATCCGCAAAGGGGTGAAAACGTATGTGGCCTTTGTGGGCCCTGGTTTCATGGTATGCCATTCTCTTGCTCTGTGAGAATTCGAAATGGAGTGACTGGATCTGATACTGATATCGGAGCTTTCTAGATTTCAGTGGCGTACATTGATCCGGGCAACTACGCTACTGATGTCGCTGCCGGTGCGACGTACCGCTTCAAGCTGCTCTTCATCGTTCTGATGTCGAACATCTTTGCCATCTTCCTGCAGAGCTTGTGTATCAAGCTGGGAAGTGTCAGCGGTCTTAACTTGGCGGAGGCTTGCCGAGCCTTCCTCCCATGGTGGTTGAACATCTTCCTCTACATCATGGCCGAGACAGCTGTGAGTTGGCTTTCTCGTCGGCGTGGAAATTTTCTGACTCTCGCAAGATTATTGCTACCGATATTGCTGAGGTTATTGGTACAGCCATTGCAATCAACCTTCTGGTTCCTCAGATCCCACTGGTTGCAGGCTGTGCTATCTCGATCATCGACGTGCTCCTCATATTACTTTTCTATCGGCCAAACGGATCAATGAAGGGTCTAAGAGCCTTCGAAATGTTTGTGGCTTCTCTAGTTCTTGGAGTTGTGGTTTGCTTTTGCATCCAGCTCAGCTTAATCAAGGACACTTCTGTGGGCGACGTCGTCCGCGGATACCTTCCATCATCTGCAATTTTGGAATCGAAAGGGTAAGTTCTGTCTCGTCATCAAGATAAACCCGCTAATCTTATTCAGTCTGTACCAAGCTTGTGGTATTCTGGGTGCAACAGTGATGCCCCATAGTCTTTACCTGGGCAGTGGTATTGTTCAACCCCGACTTCAAGAGTACGACATCAAACATGGCATTGTGCCCGCATCTATTCGCTCAGACAGCGACAGCATCGACAAAGTGGTGTACTACCCCTCTCTCCCCGCGATCAACTTTTGCCTGAAATTATCCATAGTCGAGTTGGCCTTCTCGCTTTTTACATTCGCCCTGTTCGTCAACAGCGCCATTCTCATCACAGCCGGAGCCTCTCTCTATGGAACCGGTGCTGATGATGCCGATCTCTTTGGCATTCACCGCTTGCTCTCGGACACCATTTCATCTGGCGCTGGAACCATCTTTGCTCTCGCTCTCCTCATGTCCGGTATCAGTGCTGGGATAGTCTGTACCATTGCCGGACAGATGGTATCCGAAGGGGCTTTGAACTGGACCATAGCCCCTTGGATGCGACGACTGATCACACGAAGTATCTCAATCACACCCAGCATCATCATTGCCGCCGCCGTGGGGAAAGAAGGCCTCTCGGCAGCTCTGAACGGCTCTCAGGTAGCGCTGAGCATCGTTCTGCCTTTCGTCACGGCACCACTGATTTACTTCACGTGCAGAAATAAATACATGACGGTGCGCGCCAGCACGTCTGAGGACCGTGACGATGAGACCGATGATGATACAGAGGCGAGACCGGAGGTGGAGGGTACGAAGATGCGAAATAATTGGGCTACTGCCACCTTCGGCGTCATCATTTGGCTCATCATTACGGTTATGAACGTGGCTAATCTGGTGTTGTTGGGCAGGGGAGACACCTAGCGTGCTTTTTCCTCCGTCTATGCAGGTGTGGAGAGAGGGTTGGGTGGGCAACCGTCTCTCATTACTATCGTTAAGGTGACTGGCCATCCGTTGATGGATGCATATTCTGATTTGTGTTTGAGGAGGACGGGGGGGGGGGTCTTTCTGCAGTTCTTGCGATGAGTTTCAAGATGTTGCTGCAATGCAACGACGGTGGATGGATGTGGTTCTTTTGATATTATGAAATTTTGGTACTCGCAGCACGACACTCGCTCGTTGGAGCCAGCGTATAGATACATATACACACACACACACACACACATACACACAACTTCTGAAGCAGATCTCAATGGATTCATATGAGCTCCAAAAAAATGAAAGTACACGCCTTCGCTTACTCAATTCGTGATGTCTTCTCTACCAAACTTTCCCATGTGTAATACTCGCTTGCTTACTCACTTGCACGGCTCGGTTATGAAGAAACGCAACGCAATGCAATCAGTACTCCTCAAAAAGTTTTCACACACCCGAGCGAGGGACCTGGCCAGCGAGCGTGATTCTAGGATAGGGTCGGATAGGATAGGATAGGATAGTACAGGATGTAAATAAGTAGTAAGTACACCTACGTTTTTATGGTGTGGTGGGTGGGTGGGTGGATGGATGGATGGATCGCGGGCTTGATTTATTTGTTTTTGGTTTTTTTTTNTTTTTTTTTTTGAGATTAGGGGTTGGGGGTTGGAGGTTGGAGAGGGGGGGGGGGTATTTGGAGATGGGTTTGGTGGTGGGGATGGGGATGGGGAAGTGGGATGTGGATGTGGATATGGATGTAGAGAAGTGTGATATTATTCATTTTGTGTCTTCGATTTCAAGGAGGGGAGGGGGAAGGGAAGAGTCTACTTTCCC